GTTATAAATCACATATGATTTATTATATAACACAAGTATAGTAAAAGATTGATGTTTTTCACACGAAGATAATCGTGTGTATACTTGTATTCCCCCCCACCCCTTAAAAGTGTATAAAAGTATTTACAAAACATTTGAAAACGTAGTTATAGGGGTATGAACTCCCTGATAGATTGAAGAAAGTGAGACGAAAACCGAGCAGAACTTTGACAGGAGAAAGCGGATTTCTTGGGATTCTCGGGAATCTCGGGAGCGTAAAGCTTCCTTCGGGGCTTGGGTATGAAAACCGGGGCTTCGGGATATTTCTTGCACGCAAAACGGAGTAAAAACGCAAGAGAAAGAGAGGAAATGAGCACTTATGCCCGGAACCCTCACATCCCTTTTATAGGGGCTGAAGACCCTCGGTACGTTGGGCGTACGAGGTTACACGGGGCGTACTTGTGCGTCATTGCTTACCGCATCATCGACTGCCGGACTTCGGACGGGACGGGCATAGAGGCGTAGAGGGGCGACGTGGACGATCCGGAGCCTAGCATCCGAGTACGCTGGGCGTACGAGGGTACGCTGGGCGTACGAGGGTACGCTGGGCGTAAATCGTCTCGGTTTGTGCACCTCGAACTTGTAAAATCCGTAACTTTCGCATACGAGCTCCGATTTTGATGTTCTTTATATGCACGCGTAGGTGAAAATATACTCTACAACTTTCATTTCTACTTCGTTGGCTAGTTTTGATTTTATTTTTAATTATATAATTTTAATAGGTCGGGACACGAAAAGTCCGTTAAAAATCCGTAACTTCTTCATCTGATGTCCGTTTTCGTCAGACTTTTTACCGTTGCACTACTATTGTTGAGATATTCGATTCTCATTTAGGTTGCTTTGGTCAAAAGGCTCTCGATCTCTATTTCAAGTTTTTAGCTGTCTACTGCTATCCCGAAACTTCGAAAAATCATAACTTCCTCATACGAAGTCAGATTTGGGCGTTCTTTTTATGTATGTTCATGGTTTAATGATATCTACGACTTTTATTTAGATACCTAAGGCTAATAAGTATTTTATTGAAATTTTTCGTTTTACGTTTAACCGTGTTGGCGGTTTTTGCTGTGAATCTTAGGTTGGTCATAACTTCTTCGTTATAACTCGGATTTTAGTGTTCTTTATATTTCTGAAAACCTTGACATGGTAACTATCATTCTAGACAACCCAATATAGACTTTTGAACATTTTATTTTTGACGTTAATTTCATTATATCAAAAGAGATTACAATTCTTGACTTTTTAGGTCATTATATTGATTCGAAATATCGGGTTGTCACATTAAACTACCCTGCCAAAAATACACTTTTGGTCCCTCCTCCCCATATAATTTTCAGCATCAATCCAAAATTTACCTTTTAAACCCTGATCCCATAAATTCCTTTCATAATAGATCCCTATATTACCAATAAGTCCCTTAAGCCTTCAAATCTTTTCAATTTAAATCCATTTATTACCAAACGGACCCTGGCTTCTGAAATCCTTTTTGAATTAAGTCAAGGACTTGCACTTTTAACCCCCAACTCCTAAAATTGTAATAATTAATCCTCGAGACCAACACCTCACTAATTATTATTTAAATTTCTGAGCTCTAACAATATACAAATAATAATAATTACTTCCCGGGTTCCTGATTTATTATATAATTAATCCCTTTAAAATGGGATGTTACATAACGGAGTTAGCAAAAAGGACCAAACATCAAAAGTTTTGAAAACATAGGGACCATCTATGAGGTTTTTAAACCACGGGGACTAAACTTCAGATTTTGGGTAACCACAGGGACCATTTATGATGTTTTTTCTTTTTTTAATAATAATAATTCATGGAGTATGATGCCACTGAGACGATCGAAGATGCCAAAACCGCAGAGCAAAGGTAAATAGCATTTCCCCTGACACATATCGTATGCATCATGCACAATATGCTTAATACATATAATATGCATGTATGTTCTTGATGCAGCCGGGTCCTAGCTGATTTGGGGCTCGAGGCAAAATTGAAAGCGAGGTCCTATTTTCGACCTTCAAAGTGGTCGAACAAAAGATGACAATTTAAAACAATAAGCAAGTAATCCTATTTTTTTTTCATTATCAAAGCACATGGTAAATGCTTAAATGCTAGTGTATTAAAATATTATATTTGACTACATGTCTCCATCCTTTACATAAAAAAAATTCATTTATGATACCTATAATCACCATTATGGTCAAATTTTTGGGTTTTACCGGTAATGTTACTAATGTTATCAGACACACAAAAAGAAAATATACAAACTAGGTGAAATTTGCAAAAGTGTCATTGACAATACCGTTAGTTAACAATTATGAACGTTCAGTAGTTCACAATTGATCCCTCCTCCAATCTCTTTGTTTATTTCTCCTCTTTCAATTTACCTATATAAAAATCAGAAAAAAGAATATAACTCAAAAATCAGAAAAAAGATAGAACAAATGTAAAGAGGTCATAAATTTTGAAAAACAACACCAAAAGAAGCATAACTAAGGTGTTGTTTGTTTTTTCTGAGGCAAAACGTCTGTAGTCTGCGGACCACATCTGTTGACCTCTGCAGTAGAAGAGCTGGACCAAACGTCTGCAGTCTAAATGTAGAAGACTGTTTGTTTTTGAACATCTGCAGACTGCTGTAATAAACTAAAATCTAATTAAACTGATTTAAAAAAAAAGTTAAATCTGAAAAATTAAACATTCATGAATCTATTTTCAACATTATGAATCAGTCAACCAGATTTCAATCTCATAATATGACAATATGACATAGTGATAAACAATTAAACATTCATGAATCTGAAAAATTAAACAGTTAAAGATAAACAATTAAACAATTAAACATACCATGAATCTGAAAATTTGATAATCTATTTATTCTATTAGACTATACTTCATTCACACGTTCAACTATTCAAGTATGTTATTGAATTGACAATTATAATTTACAAACTTATAATCCTTAATTCCTTATTCTTCATTCCTTAATTTCTTAATTCTCATAATCTATTACATATTTACATTATCTGTAATTCTGTATTACTGGTTAGCAATAAGAATCAAGAAGACAAGAACGAAGATTGAAGAATTATTGATAAAGTGCTAACAGGATAAATGGATAATCGACCCTCACCTATCTCTCGCAGTCTCGCACGCTGAGGCCTGATGTCCGATGCCCACTGATTTGCTGATTGCTTTCGCTGCAGTTGGAAGGCTGCAATCGATTTTTTTTAATGAAAACGAACACAACGATGATTGATCGAATGATCACTGCTGGGCGCTGGCTTCGGTTTGACGTTGGTCGCTGGTTGCCTAGTTCTTCCGATGATGTTGAATTGATTGGGAAGTTGGGCTGAACGATAATAGAATTAAAAAAAAAAATTGGGCCCCTTAAATTTGTGGGCCCTGTTCCATTGCCCCTCTTGCACCTGCCCTAAACCGGGCTGAACGATAAAAAGTCCTTGTGTGTGTTGTGAAGTTTAAATGCCATTTTAGAATTCGGTTAATTCAAAAAACCCACCAGTAGAAACAGAAACTGAAAACTGAACCAAATAAGGTTTCGGATATTTGGTTTAACTGAAAAATGAAAAAGCCGTTCGTTCATTCGATTTTAGTTTTTTTCAACACCTATAGCTTCGTACAAGGAAAAGTGATGCAAAAACTACATAGATCAAATGCAACACTTTTCTGGAAAGGCTACATGAAAACAACATGATTCAATAAAATAAAAGGATTTAGGAGTATCATTAACATTAATACTCCTTGTATTTACTTTTGTCTTTTGGTGAAACAAGTAAAAAAGATGGCAAAACAAATACCCACAAACCAAGTTTTTCATTGAATCTCAAACAAACGTCAACCCTAAAATCATTCCATTCCACCATATATTTTCTTAACAAAAATGTAACTATCATTGCAGGGCTCTTGAATTCTTCCTTACCTACCTACTAAATGCATAAAAGCCAAATAAATCTACCGTTTGATTAACTGCAACTAGACAAAGAGAAATAACAATAACAATAATAATAATGAGTCTAATTTACTATCCTTATCCATCCCAACATATTATTGGTGAGAATGGTAGCATCTTCACACAAACTAACAAAAACTGGTTGCAACACAGCCCTCTTTGATGCAGACAGCTGAGTTATCAGTCTTTCAATGCTTTCAAACACTGCACACATTTCCTCCAACCATGCAATGATGGGAGGAGTCTCTGATCTTTGAATATACTTTTGCCTAATCCGTGACATTGTTGGATATTGGCCACAAAAACATACACACCAAACTCACGTTAATAATGAAGACCAAAACTCACACTTATATTATGGGAAAGGAGGCAGGCTATAAATAGCCTTACAAAAATATCAAGAAAACACCACTACTTAAAATAAGGAGCCACTCACTTTCTTTCTTCCACAAGACACAGACAATTCCTTGGAATCAGGTCAAAGCAAATACCAAATCAACTAATAACTATTATCTATAACATAAACCATAAAATAATAATAATTATTAAATCTAAAGTTTCAACCATGCAAGTGAGCTATGAATAACCAACCGATTAACCCAACAATCACCCCCTTAATCGGTTGTTCACACCTTTCACTCACAACAACATTTAATCACCTTCCTTTCGAACCATCTCGATTCACGACTTTTCCCGGACACCCGACCTTCACCTCGGTCACATCCAAAGTCCTTCATACAATCACGACTTTCCACGGACACCCGACCTTCACCTCGGTCACATCCAAAGTCCTCTACACCCGACTGTTGCTTGTCACCACACAGAAACCGTTCGTGCATAACACTTCTGTGAAACGAGAGCCTTCTTCCACCGATCAAGAAAACAAAGCAACCCACTTTTCCCGTCTTCTTTCACCTGCAAAACGAAACAAACCCAAAGCCACCTGCTTTGACGGATCTTTTCTTTTCGTTTTCTCCCGCAACTTCGGTTAATCTCTCCATTTTCCGGTGACATACCCACAATCTACCGCCGGAATCACCACCTTGTCAGACACCACCAAAAAAAACAGCCGACAAAGAAACTCGCCACCTTCTCTGCCCTTGACCACTGTTTTCTTTCCTTTCACAGCCCCAACCTCTTCCGATCTCACCTTGTTCCAGGAGCTTTTTCCACCATTCAAGAAGACAAAGCTTCTGCCTATCTCGTTTTCTTTTACCCAGCAAGCAAGCAAGCCAAACCAAAATCCCACCCGTTTTGATTTTTTTTTTGCTTGTCTCTTCCGCTTCTGGTTAGGCTCCTCTAACACTGAACAGATGGAACAAGGATGGAGGCTGAAATTTTTTAGCCTGCTAACAGAAACGAGTTACACCCCCTTCGACAAAAGAGGTCACGTGCCAACCACCCGGTTTCCGCTGCGATGGCAGCCCCGCACCCGAAGGCTCCTCCCCTTCGGAAGTCGACTCTCAAACCAGCCCTCTTCGACCTTCGCTCTGATACCAAATGTTGGATATTGGCCACAAAACATACACACCAAACTCACGTTAATAATGAAGACCAAAACTCACACTTATATTATGGGAAAGGAGGCAGGCTATAAATAGCCTTACAAAAATATCAAGGAAACACCACTACTTAAAATAAGGAGCCACTCACTTTCTTTCTTCCACAAGACACGGACAATTCCTTGGAATCAGGTCAAAGCAAATACCAATTCAACTAATAACTATTATCTATAACATAAACCATAAAATAATAATAATTATTAAATCTAAAGTTTCAACCATGCAAGTGAGCTATGAATAACCAACCGATTAACCCAACAGGCATCATAAGACAAGTCTCTAGTGCTGCAACAATTTCTGCATGCTGTATCAATGGCATCATTTCCCCAAGGTTCAACTGCAATGTCCATGCGTAGTGCTTCCCAACTTGTGATTTTCCATGTTCATGCATATGAGCCTTGTTGGTGTCACTATTTGTATTTGCTTTACACTCCTTTAGCAACACCCTCAATTGTTTCACCAATACTTGCGCTGATGCCATATCCCACATAGCTCTAATCTCATGCAGAATTTCAAATTGGTAATTGAGCAATAACAATTGAGTTCATAAAACCCAATAAACAATATTTTTATTGGTATTGTTTGATTACCTCATGTGAGATCATTGGGAAGATGGCATTTGGTAAACTATCATCATTGTTTTTGATATCTGTAGACTTGTTTACCTCTAGGTATACCTTTACGGGCGTTTTTGTTGTAAACTTCAAAATCTTTGCGTTATCAAACACACAAACTTGATGTGGGATTAGTTCCATGGATGATGAAAGACTCTGCAAAAAATATAACAAAACAAAATTTCCTATAAATTTAATTAATGCCATCTTCATTACCATATGTGTTTGCAATCAAGGCGCAATACCTCAAGAAGATCCAAGTTAAGTGTAAGAAGCTTGACACTAGGGAGGTGTTGAAGCAGACAAACTATTTTTATGAAGATATGCATCGGAAGGATAGTGCACAAAGAGGTCAACCTTCTCCAAACAAGGGAAACCTAAACCTAAACCTGGTTGTGTAGAATAAGAAAGCTGCCAACGTTGATAAGTTTGTATGACCAATGAGGTAAGCCCAGGTGTAGAAATCAGATGCTTCCCAACACACCATCTAATAGTGAGATTCTTTAGTTGAGGTGCAATTAATTCAATATTTGCACATATATATATATAAGTGTAAGATGAGAAAGCCGAAGAAGAAAAATATTCAAAACTTTGGTTCCCTTCATTAATGTGCATGTAATTAAGGACAAGTTCTTCAAATTGGTGCACTTTGAGAATAAACCAGTTCCATAATTATCATTAGACAGTTTGACATGGTGAAGATCCAATGTGGTTAAAGCTGGGAGGTCCCACTTTGGTGTCGCAATAAATGATGATCTGTAAAAAAGATAACATCCAATAAATTCCCCAGGTGAGCATGTAACAGTGAGGTGTTTGATATTGTGAGAGAATGCACAGTTGAGAATTCTTGCGACAGATTCGTCATCAATAAGTGTTCTCCCAAGAACAAGCTTGACTGAAGACAATTGTATTTGATTATTTTGGTGGGATAGAACATCAGAAATAAATTTGGAGAATTGGCGTCCATGATTGAGAATATTTTCGAAGTTCAGATAGGGCATTGAAGTCCAGATAAACCTCCATCTAGATGACAATACACTAATGCTAATAGCATCTTTGATGTTAATGAAAGAAAGGATTTTATGGATTAGTTCATCTGGCAAGCTGCTTAATCTATCTCCTTCTACATGCTCCATTCTATGGATCTTTACAGATCTTTATTCAGCATACTTTTTGACTCCAAAAGTTGCTGCAATGAGATTGGATATCGTTTGTTGTCAATTTCAGTCGATTATATTGGGATAAGTGTGAAGCCAGGATATGGTCAAAAGATTGTGGCAGTAGACCAGCCTTGTTTTAAGGCACCAAAGGGACACCCATGTTTTATGGTCACTTATTTTTTGCTTTTGACTATTAAGCTAGGCCCCTAATTATTCTCTATATATTCTGCATCAATGTATCATGTAAAATACCACCTCATTGAAAATCAATAAAGATAGAAGACCCGTTCGTAGCCTGTGGATGTAGGTTGCACGCTGCAACCGAACCACGTTAAATCCCTCGTGTTCATCCTTGTGTTCTTGTTTTTCGTGAGCTGTGTGTGTGTTTAGAGTCGTGTGTTAAGTGTCTCGATCCTAACAAGTGGTATCAAAGCATTGGTTTAGCTCCAGAAGGTGATTTTCAGTTTTTTGGTCGAAATTTGTTTTCGTCAAAAACGATTTTGGTGTATACCGTTGGAAAGGTCTCGTTCCGAAGATTCCGAAAATATTTTTTTCTGAATTTTTTGACCACCGGAAGACGTCCAAATCGCCGGTCAAAGGTTCGCCGGAATAGTGACCGGGAAAACCAGGTCGCCGGAGAAGACGACACTGTAGCGCCGGAGAGCCTTGTTTTAAGGCACCAAAGGGACACCCATGTTTTATGGTCACTTATTTTTTGCTTTTGACTATTAAGCTAGGCCCCTAATTATTCTCTATATATTCTGCATCAATGTATCATGTAAAATACCACCTCATTGAAAATCAATAAAGATAGAAGACCCGTTCGTAGCCTGTGGATGTAGGTTGCACGCTGCAACTGAACCACGTTAAATCCCTCGTGTTCATCCTTGTGTTCTTGTTTTTCGTGAGCTGTGTGTGTGTTTAGAGTCGTGTGTTAAGTGTCTCGATCCTAACAAGTGGTATCAGAGAAGTTTGTATTTGCCTATGTTGGGCGTACAACCGGATGACATGTATGATGAAGAATGGAAGTTGTTGGATCGACAAGCCTTGGGTGTAGTTAGGCTTTCATTGGCAAAGAGTGTTGTGTATAACATTGTTAATGAAACAACTACTTATGGAGTATTTAAAGCTTTGTCCAACATGTACGAGAAGCCGTCCGCTTCCAACAAAGTGTTCCTCATCAAACAATTGGTTAACACCAAAATGAAGGAAGGCATGTCAGTTACCGCTCACATAAACGAGTTTAACTCGATTATCTCTCGTTTAGCCTCAGTTGCAATAAAGTTTGAAGATGAAGTACAAGCGCTCCTCCTTTTATCATCTTTGCCCGATAGTTGGTCAGGCACCGTCACAGCTGTTAGTAGTGCATCCGGCACTATTAAACTCACTTTCGAGAGTATTCGTGACTTGATTGTAAATGAAGATATCAGACGGAGAAGCAATGGTGAGACTTCTAGTTCTAGTTCTTTATTGCATACAGAAAGTAGAGGAAGAAGAAACGAAAGAGGACGTAGTCGAGGCAGATCAAAGTCCAAAAAAAAGGGGCAGTCCAAGAACAGAAAAGATATTGAATGTTGGAATTGCAAAGAAAAAGGTCACTTTAGAAACCAATGTCCAAAACCACAAGCTGCAAAGAAAGAAGTACACAATGTATCCTCTGAAGAATCGGGAGATTTTCTCATATGTTGTGTTGAGAATTCAATGGAATCCTGGATTATGGATTCGGGTGCCTCTTTCCATGCTGTCTCATGCCCAGATATGGTCAAGAACCTACAAACAGGTGACTTTGGCAAAGTTAGTTTGGCCGATGATCAAGTGCTTGATATTATTGGTATAGGAGACGTAGATTTGAAGCCCTCCATGGGAACCACCTGGACATTGAAAGATGTCAGGGTTATCCCAAACTTAAGGAGAAAGTTGATTTCAATTGGTAAGTTGGATGATGAAGGACTTAATGTTCACTTTGGGGGTGGACAATGGAAAGTGATCAAACGCAACTTGGTGATTGTCAAAGGAAAGAAGAAAGGCACTCTATACATGGTAGAGATACCTGGTGATGGTGTTCATACCGTAACCACCAATCCAAGTCCATCTAATTTATGACACCAACGACTCGGACACATGAGCGATAAGGGATTGAAGATGTTGGCTCAGAAAGGGAAGTTTCCAGACTTGAAGAAAGTTGAAACTGAATTTTGTGAATCTTGTGTTCTCGGGAAACAAAAGCGGGTTACTTTTGTAAAGACGGGGAAGACACCGAAAGCTCAGAAGTTGGAGCTTGTTCACTCGGATGTATTTGGACCAACATCAGTTTCATCTCTAGGAGGCAAAAACTACTATGTAACCTTTATCGACGATTCAACACGCAAGGTATGAGTCTATTTTCTTAAAAATAAATCTGATGTATTTGATACTTTTAAGATATGGAAATCTGCTGTTGAAAATGAAACTGATGTGAAGGTAAAATGCCTGAAGTCGGATAATGGTGGTGAATACATAAGCAAGGAGTTTGTTGACTATTGTGCGAAAGAAGGGATAAAGATGATCAAGATGGTCCCAGGAACTCCTCAGCAGAATGGTGTAGCTGAGAGAATGAATAGAACTCTGAATGAAAAGGCTAGAAGCATGAGGTTGAATGCCGGTCTACCCAAGACATTCTGGGCCGATGCAGTTAATACTGCAGCCTACTTGATCAACCGTTCACCGTGTGTTCCCTTGGATTTTAAATTACCAGAAGAAATGTGGCAAGGGAAGGAAGTAAGTCTCAAACACCTGAAAGTCTTTGGTTGTACTGCTTACAGTTTGTTAAAAGATGGTGACAGGGATAAACTTGATTCAAAGACCAAGAAGTGCACATTCATTGGTTATGGGTCAGATGAAATGGGTTACAGGCTTTGGGATAGTGAAAGCAGAAAGATAATCCGAAGCAAGAATGTCACCTTTAACGAAGCCGAGTTATACAAAGACAGAAACAACAAAAATCCAGAAGATCAGAAGGAGTATGTTGAGTTTGAAGGTGTTGAAAAGAAGAAAGAAGCTCCAGTCGAAATTCCTGAATCTGGGGATGATTCAACTAACAGTGGGAGCTCAGTGGATAATTCCAATAATGATTCTGAAGATGAAGAAACTAGTCCTCCAACTCCAGAATCTCCAGTCACACCTCAAGTCCAACTAAGAAGATCTTCTAGAGTCAGCAGACCACCAGACAAATACTCACCATCTGTCAACTACATTCTTTTGACAGAAAATGGTGAACCTCAGTGTTACTCTGAAGCTATAGGGTTGAAAGATTCATTGCAGTGGGAGCTAGCAATGAAAGATGAAATGAAGTCGCTTGAGAAGAACAACACCTGGCACTTAACAAAACTTCCAGTTGGGAAGAAGGCTCTTCAGAATAAATGGGTTTTCAGGGTCAAAGATGAACATGATGGTACCAAACGGTACAAAGCAAGATTAGTAGTCAAGGGCTTTCAACAGAAAGAGGGAATCAATTTCAATGAAATATTCTCTCCAGTAGTGAAGATGACCACTATCAGACTTGTTCTCAGTATTGTAGTAGCAGAAGGTTTGCATCTAGAGCAACTAGATGTCAAGACAGCTTTTCTACATGGTGACCTAGAAGAAGACATTTACATGACACAACCAGAGGGTTTCCAGGTTAAAGGAAAAGGAAATTTGGTGTGTAAATTGAAGAAGAGTTTGTATGGTCTGAAACAAGCACCCAGACAATGGTATTTGAAGTTTGATAACTTCATGAGAAGAGTTGGTTACAAGAGATGTGACAATGATCATTGTTGTTACATCAAGAAGTTTAAGGGTTCTTATATCATTCTACTACTCTATGTAGATGATATGTTGATTGCCGGTTCAGACATGTCAGAGATCAAGAAGTTAAAGAAACAAATGTCTGAAGAATTTCTAGATGAAAGACTTGGGAGCTGCAAACCAAATACTCGGGATGAGTATTTCCTGAAACAAAGAAGATGGCTCTTTAACACTCTCTCAAGAGAAGTACATTGAGAAAGTGTTAGAGAAATTCAGCCTTAAAGATGCCAAGATCAGAAGCACACCTTTGGGAAGTCACTTTAAGCTTTCTAAAGTTCAGTCACCCAAATCAAATGAAGACAAGAAAGAAATGGCTAAAGTTCCATATGCATCTGCTGTTGGTAGCCTCATGTATGCAATGGTATGCACAAGACCAGATATCGCTCATGCAGTGGGAGTTATTAGTCGGTTTATGTCCAATCCGGGGAGAGAACATTGGGAAGCAGTTAAATGGTTGCTAAGATATTTGAAGGGGACTTCAAAGATGGCATTGCATTTCAAGGGAAAAGATTTCATTCTGAGGGGTTATGCAGATGCAGACCTTGGTGGTTGTAAAGAGTCATACAAAAGCACCACAGGGTATGTCTTTACAGTGGGAGGCACTGCGGTAAGTTGGATGTCCAAACTACAGAAAAGTGTTGCCCTTTCAACCACAGAAGCAGAGTATATGGCAGTTGCTGAAGCAAGCAAAGAGCTTATATGGTTGAAGAATTTTCTCAACGAACTTGGTAAAGAACAAGATGATTGTGCATTATTTTGTGACAATCAAAGTGCAATTCATCTTGCAAAGAATCCTGTCTTTCATTCAAAGACAAAACACATACAGCTGAGATATCACTTCATCAGAGAGAAAGTTAGTGATGGTACTCTGAAGTTGAAGAAGATCAAAGGAACTGAAAATCCAGCTGATATGTTGACTACGGTTGTTACCTTAGAGAAGTTGAAGCTTTGCATAGCTTCAGCTGGCCTCTAGGGATATTGAATGAGGAGGCGGCTATGAACGAGTGGGAGACAACATATTTTTTATGTTTATAGTGATTGAAGGCAGAGTGTAGGTCGAGCACATTTGAAGCACCTGTAAAGATTGTTCCGTGGCTTCAAGTGGGAGATTATTGGGATAAGTGTGAAGCCAGGATATGGTCAAAAGATTG